CAAATATTATCTTCAAAATCCATTCGTAACGGTTCGTAAAGTCGCTAAACGTTATATGGTGTATCCAGCAATGGTCTCGCTGAATTGATCACATGACATTGTCACCTGATCGCTAAGACCGCTCTCCAATGGAACGAACGCGCTCTAATGGAATGGCTCGAGCTAGGTCTCTCTCGCAGAATCCGGTAAATGTATACGTAAAAAAGAAAATTACAAATCGACATGCAATTTATATATTTGTAATTTCTCCCCACTTAAAAATAGATGTACATTTGCAATTTTAATTTTCCTTTTGAAAATGGATTTTAAATTGTTGTTATTGGCAATAATTTATCCATATAATTAGCTCATTTTATATGGACATTTATACTTTTTGTTGTATCCTGATTTGGGAATCTATAAATGTATGTTAGTATATGTGGTGTATCTCCATTAAATAACATTCTGTTATTTCAAGTTCAGAAGATCTTGGCATTTGAATGGTCTGTGAAATAGTAACGAGTATTATTAAAGCGGGGAGTCGTCACCTGCGCATGCGTCAGATGGCCATAGCGTGTCATTGTTTACAAACAAGCGTCTACCCATGAGCCTTTGCGTTTTTAGCGTACGTTGTTATCGTCGCTTAGAACTCAATTCCCGCGCATGCGCAGGTGATGAACCCTCCATTTTAAGTTATTTCACACTGCTATATATCACCTACTCACTAATTACACCTGTAAGATTCGCTCATGGTTTTATATTCCCTGTGATATGTGTTTCAAGAATAGAATAAGTTTTCAAAGACCTTCATATCATTAGCACCAAAGATGTATCCAGGTTCTGTACCGTATTGATATGAATATCTGTGCAGTAAAAATATGAATATTTATATTATATTATGCCCATCTTGATACTAGATATGATTAATTGAAGAATAGACTAATGTACTAATATAAATGTTCCAATTGACTTATATCTCCAAGTTCTATAACGGGATTGATATCGCTCTCCAGCAGAGAGAACGTTTTATATCAGTATACGCACGCCGACTTCCTAGCGTGCCGTCGTGCCAGGAATATATGTACATTTCCAGGCGAATTGTATGACTGCCCGACAATCACTGGCAACAAGCAAAATACGATCAGTCGGTGTAGACACAATAGGTATGACAGACATAATTAAATATCTTCACATTGAAATTTTACTCTAACTGCATGAAATTGAATTTTTTTAATAATCGCAAAGATTTTAGAAATATTCAAATATTCTCTTCCTTTTGAAGCCACCCACCTATGATATTTTTGTTATAAGTGCAACAGAGCACGTAGACGTCTTTAAAATGATTTTCTTTTTTATAGAATGAATGTTATAGAATGGTTTATGTCATATACCGCATTGTTTCTGAATGAAATTATCTACATATCAAGTGATTTTAAATGTTTCCTATATGTTAAGTGTTTCGCTTCATCAATATGGGTGCTATACATTATTTCGGAACATTCAGCTAACTTCAGTATATAGTATGTTATTTGAAAAAAAAACAAGGTAGAATGCGAAGTTTATTATTATTATTATTTTTCTGACCAACAATATATTTTTCTTGTTTACATAATTTAGTATTGCAGAAATATGTGTTTTCTACTGCTTTTTAAGTATATTACAGTAATTAAGAAAAAAAAAACGTTTTTTTTTTATAACAAAATATACATCAGCAATGCAATAAAAGATAAACAAAATGACAGAAAAGTATGATGTCATCATTGAAAAATGAAGTAAACATATCTCCGTTTATACATGTACTACTCAAACCGGTTGTTCATTTTATAGGGTAGCGCATTCAAAGCAGATCAATACGCACACAGTTCACATATGCACTGATTACGTAATTAACAAATTCTTCCCCTCTAAAATAAACATGTGATCAAATAAACCATGCAAAGTTACTGGGTATTACGATGAATTGTCATAATAATCATTTGCAGGGGAGTTAGACTAATAGCATGGTATTGGAGGGACACTTTGACCGTGGAATACAGGCTTCTTCGTGTAAAACATACCCTGCGGGACATTGGCACTTCGGTACACATGGCTGGTTGTGACATAATGGGTCATGTTCTTCTAATCCTTCACATGTCTCTGGGCACGGGGGACCGCAGTGATCATATATCATATCCGGTGGACATGACGAGCCTGTTAGTACAAGGTAGAAAACGTAAGTACACAAATAGGAAAATGAGTGAAATAAAAAAAAAACACATTGTCGCATACGGCTTGTTTACCACTTCCGTGTGACTGAGAATGTTCTAGAACCGTACTGTGTCTGGGTGGAATTTTTAGAAACTGGTTGAATAGGTAATGGAACATTCTAGAAATTTGTAGTAAGTTCCAGACTCATTATGTATGCTGATGTAATGGTCTATTTATAGACAGTGTGGGTATATATAGGGGAGTTGTTCAGCACTGAGTTCAGATCGGAGATCTCGTTGAATTGTATTGGAGTTTAAGTATCTAGTTATTGGAGTAGTGGATTTTTACCGCGTTATTGTATTTGATGTTTGCAGAGTACAATAATACCAGTACCAGTTGAAACCTCATCTGTTGGCTCCGTGTTCGTATTTTATCATCGCCGCCAGGGAAGTCTTTTTGTTACTGTTGCCATTTTGGTATTTGAACCATCACGCCTGTACTATACCAATTACGGTAATATTACGTTGCGTGTGACACATATGTTATTTTAATTTTCCACCAGTTACTTCATTAATATATGGCTACCTTCGGGCACATAGTAAGCAGTATTTTTTACCAATATTTGAGCAAAAAGCGTATAACAAATCGCCATTCGTCGGAGACTAAGTTACTGCATATTTACCTATCGCTGCCGATACATTTCATTTACATTAAAGGGCGCTAGTCGTCGCACTGCGCATGTGCGACATTTGTGTTGATAAACATTGATTTTCCCATAATCCAATGCCGAATGCGCCCTTCTAATGGAAATCGTAAGTATGAGGTTCGACCTGGGCGCGACTAGCACTAATTACCGCTCATGACTCTTTCGATACATTCTAAAAACCTAATAAAATGCCTAATTAAAGCTTGGTAACATCTCAGTTTGAACTCGTTGATCTGCGCAACAGTCAAAGTCGCCATCTTTGTTTATATGAGACCCATATATCTCGTGCACGCGTGGCGCGACGACTACCGCCCTTAAAACCTATTTTTTAAATGAATATGCACAACAATTTATTAAAATAGTATCTTGCAAACACTGCATGACAAGATTTCAATCCAATGTTGTAATTTATACTAACCACACAGCTCCTTGTCTTTCCATTTTCTTATAATAATCCCGTTTCTTCGACATTCATGTACGTATGCAACAACTGCCTCACAGTAACAAAGTTCGTTTTGTGCGCAAGAGCACACTTCTTCGAGACACATTTGGTAATAACTTTTAGGATTAACCACATCATAGCACGGGTGGAACGCAGGTTTCCGTAACGCACTGCACCTCGCTCTGGCCTCTCGTTGTTCTCGGTATGTTTTTCCAGCACACACATCTACATTGGTGAATCTAACACCCCGAAATAAAGAACGTGATGAATGAGGATTCCTGCAGTGTTTGTATCCATCTACTTTAAAGCTGTGAATAAACTCATTTACGGTCCTGGCAGGAAGATACTGACGTGTTATTTTGTCATCTCCGGATTCAGAGTTCATGTTGCCACACAATCCACATAGTTTGTTTGTGTACTTGCGAGGAGCAAACACCACAACGTCCCCATACATATCCCAATCAATCGTTACTCCGTATGAAGTTTTGACGAAAGTACTGTTTGAACTTGTCTTGATTATTTCAACGACTTTCGGACTGGCATGAACATAAGGAAGATTCACTTCTCTCTCGGCAACTGTCACTCTGCCGTCTAAATGAATAACAATGTTCACACAGCTAATATGTATGAAAAGTGCTTTGCGGTGAGAAATACTGCGACCAACGCTGCCATTTTCTTCCTCGATCTGAATACTAAAATCGCCACTAGAGCAATCCTGGGCAAGTACATAACGACACCGTCCTCGAAATTGAAACGCATACCAGTCAAAGGTACTGTATTGGCCAGTCACGGAAACGACACATGTCTTGGAATCTATCATACAGGAAGGTAAATATAGACGTTACGTTAGTTATAATCGCATAATACCGAATAATACGACATATTAAAATGAATATCGAATCAAGACCCCTCCGCCCTTTAAAATACACACGGTTTGCTCTAGGCCATAACATTTGTTTAACTAGGTTTAGGCACGCATCCCAATTAAAATACGACACAGCATTACAGATACATATATCAATTGTAGATGAGACGCACAATGCTAGGCCTACAGAAATATTTTTGTCCACTGCCACCACAGATACAATCGACCCAGTATATTAAATATTAATAGAAAATATCAAACATTCAACAGGGCCACGAACCACATACTTTATGAAAAGGAGAAATAAATGTAAGTTACCTTCGACACATGAACTGCAGCATTTGTCAGGTCCATGATAAGGATGTTGACCCTGTGAAGTAATTAAATATAAACAATTATTGTATCATAATACAAAGCTCAAATTAAAAAAAAAATGTTATCCGGAAACTAAATGCGTTCGTGTTGATTTCTGACTGTGATAGTATACCTCTGGACAAGAAAGTGGTGGGCAATACTTCCGTTGGCACACAGCTAAACCATTTTCACACTGGCAGTCTTGGCAGTTTTCAGTCCAAACCTCTTCTGCCTGTAAAATTATGAATACGGTCAGTTATCGTGGATCTTTGGCATACACACAAAATAGAAGAATGCGAAAGACAGAATGACTGTGCATAGGAGCGACCATAACATATCATTCTATTCTACTTACCGAATACAACACCCCACGTGATGAACAGTATGAGGTATCTGGTGATAAACAATAAAAATGATATTAAAAACCCGTAAAAAAATGTACGTTCCCCTGTCAAATTATTTTGCTTCGAATGTTCATTGTTATGTATTTATTAAGTTCTCACCCATGCATGTTTTCCCATCTGTCGTCAGAGCAAATCCATCAGGGCAAGTACAGTAGAATGATCCATTTGTATTGTGACACTGATGACTACAACCACCGTTACTATGGCGACATTCGTCAATATCTACAATAAAAAAAGTGTAAAACAATCAGTCAATATATATACCGAAAGTGATTAATTAATCTAGCTGGGAGTAGTCTAAATCGTTCTCTTTGTTCCTCCATGTCGGCATTTCGCATGAATAAATTTTAAACTAAATCATTGTCATTGATATCAAAACTCACCATATTGACACTGTCTTCCTGTGAAGCCATTATCGCATGTACAAACCGGATTTTCTTTCAACATCTCACAGCTACCACCGTTTCTGCAAGGATTTTCTGAACATTCGTGGTTGAGTTCACAGTGCACACCTGTGGATAGTATAAATGGTAAAGGATTTTGAGTGGATGAAGAACTCATTTTCATTAAACATTGTGCCTAACATGCGCCCCTTCAGCCCGAAAAAATTGACAAATCAATTGACAAACCCAGCCCAATTCAATAGCAGCACCCCCCTTGCCGAATTTATGGATCCGCCAGTGCTTATTGTTGCTGTGATGAACGGCTAATGTACGAATCGTTGTTTATCGTGTTAGTATGTGTCAGTGGATTATCGCTGAATTAGATCATTCATTGTATAACTTATAAATAGATTTTCACCTGAGAAACCCTGTTTACATATACAAGTGTTATTCAGTCCTTCCATGAGACATGTACCACCGTTCGAACAAAGTCTATGTTGACACGACTCTAAATATTCTTGACAATGCTCCCCGGTATACCCTGTGGCACACTCGCATGAAAAGTCGTCAATCAGGTCTATGCACGTTCCACCATTAAAACATGTGTTTCCTTCACAGTTACTTTTACCTATATGTATATATGACACGGGTGTTAGTAACGAGAAATGAAATTACAAAGAAATATATAATACACTATGAACGACATTCTGAGCAAATATAAGGTTGACTTTACGTACCTGCACAAAGTGTGGAATTCTCTTCAACTACAACGTTTCCATGGATATTATGTTTCATCTGTATCCAGGCAACAACATTGCCTTGGTTGTCGCATCCTGCGTACAAAGATGAAACCTCAATGGGTGTCATTGCAAAATTCCATATGTTGACCTGTTGGAGGGATCAGATATATCAGATTCTTGAAATTCATCTACCCACAGAATATATGAGAACGAGATTAATGTACACATACGCAATGGATTGTGGGAGATAACCTCTAATAGTGTATAGAATTAAAAACTATAATCACTCTGAAACTCGCAAAATTCAATGTCAATTCATGTCAGTAATAATGAACGATTTGACATCAGGGAAAATCTCCCAACAATGGAAACTCAGTGTAAATATGTCAGTTTTCACTGTTTCCCACGGCATTTTGGAATTCCGTATCTCGAAAAGTTATTCGATGACTCCAATTATCTTTTATCACATTTGGTATCTCGGTTGCATGAAATCATAATAATAAGTATATTGAAAATGATATATAATCTTTACTTATTTCGAACTTATTCCTAAACAGATTCCAATATTCATACTTGCCTGTGACAACTCTCCCACAAAGCATTCAGCAGCGTTGAATTGCCCACCTACACTATCTTGATCTTGACCAATAACCAAAATACCCCCACCCCTAATAACCGCTGCCTGCTGAAAACTGACTCCACCTCTAACATATACATTGTCAAAGTACACTGCCCATGATCCAGTATCGCTCTCCCATGTCACAGCCACGTGATGCCAGTCACTGTCTCTGTAAATACATAAAACATGTATGTTTAGAACAATGAAAATAGAATAGCAATAATGCACACTGTGGTAAAAAAAATCCAGTATAATTATTAGACCCTATTGCTATTAGAAAAGTATCTTTTGAAAACGTTTGTGGATTATAAGTCGTGCATCTGTGCAATAAATCGTGGTAGTTGATCGTAAATGGCTTGAATAACCGATATTTAATAAGATAAGATTAGAAAACTTACCCATTAGCCTTCAAATTAGTATAAACTGGATCGTCATTTATATAGAGAACAAAATTGTTATAATCCTGCAGTGTGAGGGCGTTGTCGGTGACAGCGCCATCACTAGACTGGGCATAAGAAATAGGCGTGCCATATGACGAGCTGTCAGAAGTCTTCATCCAGAATGATATGGTACACTCGTACATATCCGATACACGGTCGATTGATGCATAGTCCGTGGCCTGTGAACTTGTAAAGAGGAGGTTGAAGTCTGTAGAAATAACTAAACGAGAAACAAGTTTATGTTAATTTATTGGCATGTGATTACACGAATCGAGTGTTACAAACAAGTAAATAATAAGGTTACCGTACTTGGAATATGGCAATTAAAGATCAACGGTAGATAACGAGTAGTATTGCTTGAAACATATTGCACATAGTTCATGACGCCTACTCGTCATTGTTGTGGAATACGCTAAAATTTCATGCATGAAAACGATTTGCTTTGCCAAATTACAGACTCAAAATATATCTGAGACTAACTATTGATAAAGATTTATTACTGCTACTTAAATTTGAATCTGTAATGCTAAAGCGGGAATTGAATCCCAAGCGACAATAACACGCAACAAACGCTAAAAACGCAAAGACGCATGCTTGTAAACAATGCCACACTATGGTCATTTGAAGCATGCGCAGGTGACGACTCTCCCGCTTTAAATTGGCGAACAATTTTGAATGCGCACATCATCCAGAGTTTCATTGTGAATATCGATATAATGAGTATGTTAGTTGCTACGATATGGCCAACATTGGAAGGTCTGTAGAAAAAGGCACGGTTTTTGTTGAAATAGGATTCATAAAAACAACACAGGAATCACAAGATATCGCTTGGTATCAATTGAATATCACAAATCTCGCCGCAGCTGAAATAAGGATAAAGCGCCGAGTACACAGCTGCTCATATGAAAATAATAGCTTAATTTGCTATTTAATTCTCATTAATTGAACTAGCAATTATATCTGCTAGCTGATAATAGCTAACAGTTCATCTGTGGTTTAATATACCAGATATTATTGTTGGCACAAATACTAAATCTGATTTTGACGTTATTATATACTCACATGTTTCACAATTATCTCCAAGGTAACTAATATCACATTCGCAAAAATATGAATCTATGAGATCAATACACGTTCCTCCATTACTACACGGATAACTTGCACATTCGTCTATATTTACATCACAGTCTTCACCTATGAACCCGGACAGGCATTCACAAGTGTAGTTTCCCAGTCCAGATATACATAATCCACCATTTTGACAGGGCGATGATTGGCATTCATTCACTTCTTCCTCGCAAAAGCGACCAGCATAGCCGGGAGGACAACAGCATGTGAAATTCTGAAAATGTAGAAGAATTCCACACTAAACGTAGGGTTTAATGTGCGCATGATATTTTGTTCGATTACGTCAGTGACGCTGCAGGATCTTTCGCGATACATACATGATGCGCGCCGTCAACGGTTTTAATTTTTCCAAAATGTTCACAATACGAATGCAAATTACCCGGGTCAGTGGGTCACGGTACTTTAAGTCAAAGTTTACCTGCAGATATTTGTTGATATATAAAATGGATACTTGAAAGATTGATTAGTAGTTTTATAACTACGATCGAGGACGACAAAATGGCGGATAATTATTACGTATTCGGCCAAAAAATACCACGTGACATGGAAACCCGCAAATTGACACATTAGACCCATAAATAAATCATATCTGAATTGATATATGAGTGCTTATGATCACACGTGACGCAATATCCGTATACTATATTATATCCTTGGCAAACCTAACGAATCTTACCTGTGCAAGATCAAAACAGGTTCCTCCATTTTTACACGGACTTGACGCACAGTCAAAATAATTAATTTCGCATTGTGCCCCAGTATAACCATCAAGGCATTTACACATATACCCACTACTTCTGTCGTAGCAACTTGCACCATTCAGACATGGGCCTGTCGATAGGAAGAATGAATGAGACAACTCAGAAGACAAAAACTTAGAAACAAATGATCTTCATTGAAACGAGTATGTTTTATCTCGAGCATGCCATGGCCATTTTTAATTGATTTGTTTTAAACGCGAATTAGAAAAAAAACTTACTTGATTTGCATTCGTCAATGTTTATCTGGCAGTTTGCCCCAGTGAAACCTATTTGACATATGCAGTGGTAGTCGTCCACGCCATCAACACATGTTCCATTGTTTTTACATAAGTCTTCTTCGCAATCGTCGATGTTAATCTCACAACTCTCCCCGCCGTACCCAGGAATGCATTGGCACTGACGGGTTTCGTTCATGCTTACGCAGGTTGCATTGTGTTGACATGGAAACAGTTCACAGAGATCAATAACTATTATGTACAAGAAAAAAATAAGAAACAAACAGTAAATTCATTTATAGATTCCGCAGTGAATATACAATGGATAAAATGTATTTGTTGCTTTTTCATCACGAAAGATATTTTTATTCAGAAAATGATTAAGTGAAATATGTTTTTTGATCACTGAAACTAAAACGACTTTTTATTCCCCCCGTAGCCATTTTTATGCTGTACGTAATTAATTAAGATATAGAATACGATATATAACAAAAAATGCGTCGATGAACAAAGTAATTTAACCAGTATTTATTATAAGTCGCATACTGCAGCAATTAAACATCGTCATTAAATCATAACAAACAGACGTATCATTGAGGTATAAACGGATGTCCCATACCTTGGCAATACTGTATGGCATGCGCTCCTTGGAAATGTGTTGTCTTGCCATCCTCGCATGGTATACAAGATTTCTGACTACCACGTGGCTGGTAAGTTCCACGCTGACATGGTATACATGGCATAAAACCAGTTTCCGAGTAGCTACCAGAAATACATCCAACTAAATGAAAAAAAAAACATGTGTTAAAAATATTTGTTTAGAAACATATTCAAGACATGGTTGACTGATAGTTAAACTGCAAGCATGCTAAAGTGTTATTTGATTATCAGAAACTTGAGTTTGGTTTGTAATTCGTTTATGCGATTGTTACCAATACAAATCACAGGGCCGTTCCACTTATATGTTATTATAATGAGAACAAAGCACATACCTTTGCAATAATCGGCCGATACTGCCCCATCAGTCCATGTTGACAGATTTTCCTCACAAGATATGCATGATGTACTTCCGTTGTTTGGCTGATAACTTCCTCTTGGGCACAAAATACATGTTTCCAGGCCAGTTTTCGAAAAGGTGCCCGGCTGGCAAAAACCTTAAAGCGGCAAAGTATTTATGATTCTGTTTAACGGTGGTATATCAAATTATCAGGCCCACGGGGACTAAGTATATAGAACGTATTTTTTTAAATTAAAGAGATTGATTGATTGAAATTATACACATCTGATTGTACATACCAACGCATGCGCTGATTGTCTTTGATCTTGTCTTGGTCGTCAATGTGTTCGGAGGACATTGCTGGCAATATGTAGATGCTTCAGTGTCTTGATACATACCAATAGCACATGCAGTACAAGTGTTGGTGGTGACGTCATGGTATGTTCCAATAGGACACGTAACTAAAATATGAGGCATGTGTGAAAAGAATATGAAATGCTTTTACAGAAATTATACCTGTCCAGGGGTATTATTCTGAAGCCCCATAATAGTTTTTAAGAAAACACAAAACATACATACATAACAGCATATTCTTTATTTACAGAGGAGTGTTTGATTTATATAATTTACTATATAGTGTAATCATTTTATTTCGACAATACAGTTATTAAACATTCACTAAAGTTGAATTCGTTAATAAAACTTATCAAATGTATTATACGAGACTCATCCAAATTCGATTTTTCACACAATACAAACTGACAATGTTCGTTGAACTATCGCTGAAGACATGTGAACGAAATTTAGGGTTATTTTAATACACATTTTATTCAGCATATTTGTCGCAATGATTGAAAAATGTTCAAATGTTGGTAATCACCAAAAAGAATGTTTGCAATGGAACGATATCAACGACAGCATGTTTAATTTGTGACGTAATTTTGGTGCGTAAATATGCATGGCGCGGTGCCACTTAACCAGATCTAAATGTAATAAACTCGCTACACAGATAAATGTTTCGTTGTGTGGGGATATTATCATACGATAGGCTAGAGATTACTTACGGCATGAATCGTTTCGCCAAATGTGACCAACTGGGCATTCGACTACAACATTGGATTCTTCTATTAACTCGGGTTCGTCGGAAGGTACGGTATTGATTCCAGTGTTAGTAATGATTGCGCGGAATAATCCCCGAGAAGCAGTTACTTGAACCTCATTTTTCAATTGCCGTAACATGTCGATAGGTCTCAGTGCAGGTTGTCCGTCGGCTGTGGATTCTTCACTTCCCCCATCAGTCTGGTAATTTAAAATGAGTTAGAAATTATAATGTTATTTTTATCTCTCGTAAAACTTTCGTTTTAACATCGATCGTACTGAAAAAAAATGTTGTGCATAAATAATGGTGTTATAAATTCTACTAAGAACACGTTTTCACAAATTCAAACAAAAAGTGTGGTCTATATTATCGCGAAACAGTTTGTTCCGAAGTAGTCAGCATATTATGAAGTTATTACGAGGATACCTCAAATTATGCACGAAGACAGTACAGCGGAGTACCGACGCGCAGTGGATGTCGATGCGACGACGTACTGTCTGAGTGCATACTTTGAGGTATCCCCGTAACAACCTTATTATTATACATCTTTTCTTTCCAAGGATACATCATGGGAATGCCGAAATCCAAAATGTTCAGAACAGAATCAGCATATATCTTAGTGTGGAGTCCGGTCAAACCCTTGTGGCAGCCATGTTTGTTTTTATTATTAGAGGACACTTACGCGCGTTATCATTCAATATTTGGAATTTCGTCGACAAACAATTATATGTTCTGTAATAATTGATTTGTTTCGTTTCCAACGACGATTATTTTCTCAGTGGAGACAAAATCAGGGTATGAAATTAGTCGAATACAGTGAATACTGCATTATTATAACCCCAATCTGACTCATAAACATGTGACCAGTATTATCGTTTTAGAAGAGTATGTAAAAGTGCACGTGATAGGCTTGATCAAGATGAGATATTCTAAAACAATAATACAAGTGATTGTTCTTACATCAGTTGAATCTGGGGAGTCTGGTTGAGTCTCTACTATAAGAGTATACGATACTCTGATGACATTTCTCGATACGTCCCTTTTATGGACTGATGACGTAGATGACGACGGACCACAGTATACTGCAATGTTCTCAACAGCACATCGCTCATCTAAGCAAAATCCGGAGGCTTGTTGCTCTAGCTGTTGAAACTTTGTAATAAAATTCCTTCGAATTTCCTCCTTGCCTGTTTCACCAAAGCAGTTGTCGACGTAATATTGTACAGCAAGTCCAAGTGATAATTTGGATGGTTCTGTCATTCCTGAAATATAGAAATGGATCCGTCATTAATACAATGTAAACGTCATAATACTTTCTTGCATATTTGTTTCCAAATTCGATCGTCGCTGAAACCATAGTTAGTATAATTGACAATATGTTAATTATGAAATTTAGATCTTCTGTCTTTTTCGGGTAAAAGTGAAGTAAAAAAATTGAATATCACCATTTTATGTTCTTTATTACGTAATATCATAATGTATATAATCACGTATTGTGATTTTCAACTTACTTGCACAGTCTGGCCATGGGAACTTAAAATCACGGTCACCTCTGGATACGATCGGTGCAGGTGCCCATTCCCCTTTATGAGTTATCCTGTTCTGTTTGCAGTAATAAATGTCTTCCGGGTCAAATACAAAGTCGTATTTTACTTGGCATGATACCATACAAAACTGACCACCCAGCCAATTTTCACATGAAAGCGACCCATTCTCTGGCGGCGATGCATGCTCACAATTGTGTTCTGTATGCATAGAATGATAAAAATGACAACAACCGATCTTAAGTATGCCTTTCTTCAACAGATTCAAAGAGATTAAACTGGAATAATTATTTAGGACCTTAAAAGTCAACTATCAATATCAATATGTTATTGGATTATAACAGTATTTTCTGTATATTCACTCACGTTTTAAATTCACTTCAAATTTACAGAGCGCAGTGTTTCCCGTCCAATCCACTGCCTCGTATGTTACACTTGAGCTCCCCCAATAAAACGTGGAACCTGGTTGTCTATTCATGTACACAGTCACGTCTTCGCCAGAGTTGTCTTGAAATGTCGGCTCAATCCAGGTTACATTGCTTGACCTGCTCGCACTTTGAATCTCTATGTCGCCAGGACATGTCAATACGCTAGGAGACTCTTCGTCTGAGAAAATAGAAAGAGCATATCACGTCGTTTGTGAAGGTGTTAATGGGCGATGATTTTCCCACAATCCAGTACGCTCTTCTAATTAAAATCACAAGTATGAATTTTGACCTGGGCGCGACTTGCACTAATTACCGACGGTGACTCTTTCGATACCTTCCATCAGCCTTAAAAAATACCTAATTAAAGCCAGATAACATCTCAGTTTGTAATTCTTGATCTGCGCAACAGTCAAAGTCGCCGTCTTTGTTTACTAGTATATGAGACCCATATCTCACGCATGCGTGGCGCGACGACCACCGCCCTTTGACAATCATCCTGGGTTATATCTATTACATTATTGGAAACACACAAGGTCGAATTCAAATAATAAATCTTAAATTAGTTGTGAATTAAATAATATATATATATCACATATTTCAGGTTCATACCTATCACGGTTACAATGAATCTGCATTCATCTACCAGATGTTCGCCATCCATAGCGATGTACGTCACAGTTGATTCGCCTATTGGAAACCAAAATGGCGGACCTTGGATGTTCGGAATCATAGTGATAGATGGCGCTATTCCACTATTGTCGGTGGCTGTGGGTTCTTCCCAGGTCAGTTTACCCTTTGACATGTGGAGCTCAGCAGTCACAGTGACATCTGATGGACAATTCAGGAATTTGGGTGGCTCGTTGTCTAATAGCAAATAAAAATATGACAAGAACATGAAGACGACCCAAAAACAAAATCGGGTAACAGTACTAGGTACTAGAGTAAATTATCGAATTTTGTTTGAATTATATTGAATTATTTTTTCCTATCATTGCTAAGTAACCGAACTTTTGATATATTTATGTATTCACTGTGAATCGTAAATTAATCAAGTTTGTAATTGCCTTGTTGGGTTGACACAATAATCGGGAAACAACATGGCGTTAAAAGGGTTTTGAACTAGAAGTAGAAGATCTTACATGAATCACTATAATCCTAAACGAAATCTGCTGCGAGAAAAAGCTTTGTCCTCCCAAAACAAGTGCATGAGACGATGAGACGACAGTATATAATCGATTGCTTTGACCCCGGAAACTTTACATTTGTTTTTTTGATCGCCACAACTTTGCGGGTACTCCACACTTGGCGAAACACGATGAGTCGTTTTTGAGTTACAAACTTATTTTCAATTTGTTGTGGTGTCTCGCGTTTCAATTTGCGATAACCACCATGACCAAGCATGTCTAGCCGTTACGTTGTTGTTTTATACATATACATTACGTCACTTCATGGCGCAAAAAATGCTCGTACTATCTGCATAGCAACCAAGTTTAATTGTTTCCTGTATAGCTTAGTGACATGCGCCCATAAATTGTGACTTCTGTCAGACATGAGTCAGCGAAAGTAGGGCAGAAATGAAAATGCTAAACAAAAGCAGCACAAACTATATATAATATAATAATTAAAAAAAAACGTTCTTGATCAATGGCATATGACTAGCACCTGACATACACTGATACTCACCTTTGCAAAATCGTTCAACGTTTACATTTGACCATTCCCCATCGGCTTGGCACTCGGATGTCTCTGCACCGTGTAACATGTAACCATCTTTGCAGGAATAAACACACACTTCCATATAAGGTATGTTGGTTTCCTCGCACGCAGATGGTCGTAATCTCATATTTTTCTTTACTTCAAGTGGTTGGCATGATCTGACTATCAATCGAAAATATAGTATATGGTATGTGTTATTATGCAATCGTTGATGTACTCGACGTGTCAGATGAACGTGTTTATTATACTTAAATACTAAATTTTAACTACGATTCGCTTACTTTTACATTTAGGCTCTGCATCAGTCCATCTTTCATTACCGCCCTCCTCAAGAACACATCTTGTATCCTCGGATCCAAGTATGTCGTATCCATGGTTACACGTGAATGTACACCACGTGTCAATACTGTTGTCATCAGTGTCACACAAAAGATTACCATTACTTGGTTCAGATAACGCCTCACACGTGATCTCTATCGATATTAAACATTAAAGTTTATACGTTATCTACACATAGACATATGTCAAAATAATTTCGAGTGTTCGTAAGTTTCTTGTTTCGAAACTGGCGGTAGATTGGAAGACTTGACACCGTAAAGCAAAAATAAATAACATTTCGACGATGCTGTATATATTGGTAAAGAATTTGTAAGAGCGGGAAAATTTGCCAGGCATATGTGAATAAAATGTCTGTCCACAATTATCGCCATCTATTCAGTGTTTTAAAGCGGGAGGGTCGTCACCTGCGCACGCGCGGGAATTGAGTTCCAAGCGATGAAAACAACACACGCCAAAAACGCAAAGAATCATGGGTAGACGCTTTTTGTAAACAATGACATGCTATGGCCATCTGATGCATGCGCAGGTGACGACTCCACCGCTTCAACTGAAATACTACACTTACTCCGACAAATGAACGGTTGTCCAGACCACTGGCCATTTTCAAGACACTCAATTCTATGTGAACCTCCGGGCATCGGACGATAATTGCTGCTACACTTGAATTCACAAGAACTTCCAAACGTATTAGCACATGGATTCGGCATAATATATCCACCAGGGGGCGCTGTCAATCTAGCGCATGTCACAACTGAAAACAACCATACGTACAGTTCGTTATCAAGTAATAATGGACATTGTGTGTGCTGTACGGAAAAACAAAATGTTGTTAAACCACATTCAAGCCACACAAGAGCTAAATACAGAGTTTAGTGCGGTGTACTTAACATTAATCGAAATAAATACGTCACACGCCATTTCTGTATATTGCCATGCATATAACGTGTCGGGTCAATAACGATATATACCGGTAATACAGTATTGTCATTGTGATGCAAAATAAAAAAAAAAACGATTATTAATCCAGCCACTAGGTGGCGGTGTGCAGACGTGGTTAACTAATATTGCTTAATTTAATTAATACTTTGAGAAATGTAAATTAAACATTTACAATATACACAATGATTTACTCACTAGAACAACTGTGATCCGGCCGTTCAATGTATCCTGCATTGCAGCGACACTGATCAATTGAGACGCTTCCAGTGTCCTCAGTATTTGAGTTGTCTGGACAGGCCACGCAGTCTAAATTACCAACCATTTGCTTGTATGTACCACGAGGACAGGCTATAATATAATTAAATGAGTCAGTGATAAATGTGTACTTGAGTATGCGTACATATAGTGAAAATAATTGCACCCATCTTGCTTGTTTTATTTGTCTGAGAATAAAAACGGTTACAATTATAGAAATAATTATTCAATGGATTATTGAATTGAAAATTGGACGGTGAGGCGATTTCTTTTTCCCCTTAAATACTTGACCAGAAACATAATTTGTTCAGTTGTTGGTTTGCGTTCCGAGTCTCCGACAACTATTAAATATTAGTCGTCTGAGGTTCAGTTACCCTCCAAGGTCTACGGCGTTGCTGTAAACATGGGTTCAACCACTGTGGTTAACACTACATATACGTGCACATGCATTATCAATCGTAAAATCTAATCTGTATTTCAACTTGTATAGTTTGGCATGTTATTACAGCACTGTGTTCACAACTGAAAAAAAAAACATACACAGAAGGTCAGTCAGAAAAACGCCATCACTGGTTTGTTTGAACGAGCATCGCCAATTTTGAAGGGGGAAAACATCTCTCGCTACCGGTGACTTATTTTGTTGTTACCTGTACATTGTCCATTCAACCCATTTCCACTGTACCCAGCTTGACATGCGCATTGGTGAGTGCCGCTACTGGTACCACAAGAACATCTGGCCTTGTCATCGCAGCAGTCGTTTCCATCCGTACACAAGTAATTGCACGAAGATTCAAGAACAGACATATCCCAGCTTTTCTCTTTTACGTCTGAAAATGTAGAGACCATATTATATATAATTAGTGTTACAAAACTGGCTACACACACACCAGAACCCATGGGGAAAAAAAAACAGAAAGTCACAGCGCATTGCATCCCAGAAGTCTGCTACTTTGCGTGAGGATTGCTGCAAAGTAATGATATAATATTTTCTTGACAAGACCCTGACGCAGAAAGGTACAGCAGTATGGTCTTAAAAAAAAACTAAGACATACAGAAAGTGAACCCAGACGTATCTCAGTACTATAGATATCACATATCACTTTTATATGCAAATACATATCCTAGAAACCAGCCAATCCAAGTACACCCAAGATTAATATTATTCGTATACTGTTCGAAATCTCACGTCCATAGACAGCATCTCGCCAACAAATTCGTTGTACCTACATACTTGTATATAGCGCCCCCACAGTCATGGAAACAATACGTGAAAGTGACGACAATGTTCCGGGTTATTTTGTCTCGAGAAAGATGAACTAGCGTTGATTATGATCTTAGAAATGACACACCGAAATGAAATGAATCTCCCAAATAAACATCTCATGCCACCAATTCAAATCTTATCAGTGTCTTATGATTGGCTTTTCTTTGACCGCGTTTTATCTGAAACGCGATGTATGAGGGTGTACTCCAATTACGTCAGCTGTTAGACTTGTGTGTGCAGCTTTGTAACTCTCAATTAGACCATGGAGCTAAATGATTAGACACATCCAAACTGGCTGCGTTTCTGAGAATATTGAAGGTAGAAAGACTGACAAATCTGTGTGTTTTGTTTACATCCATTTTGTATGATTTTGAGCTGGCCAACATGTGTTTTATTGGCCAGAATTCTATCACATACATGTGGTTATGGAGTTCTAATTAGTGGTGTGAGACCTGTAGTGTGTAACGTGAATGAGCCATTGTACTAGTGTGACGGTATGTTTGCTATGACTCACCGTTCTTAATGCGGGTTGCCAAGTCAACCACGTAAGAAAGTCTATCCAGTATGAATACATACTGTGCCGTAGCTATCGACGTCAGTTCGTCCATGTTTACATTGCCCACCCCTATTGCTACAATTCGTATGCCTTTGTTGCGGATTCTCGTTGCTATGCCTACGGGGTCACCTTCGGTAGACTGTCCATCTGTTAACAACACTACTAATCTAAAACAAAACGAGAAGAAGAAAGCTTTGGTTGAGGAGTTTTAGCGATTTTTTTTAGTAAATAATAATTTCAAAACGTTATTTTATTATTATTTTGCAACAGTGAAACAATCTGAAACCCAAAGGAATGGTGAGTTATGTTAAGGAAGCGTGAACACGTTATTATTATTAATTCCAGCATTATAATACTGTGAACAAACAACTTGAAACAAGTCAGTCTCTGCCAAGTCAGCGAGCTACTAATAGCCTCCCTCATTATCAATATCTTTCTGAACCAACCAACACTGTTCAGTAGTCATGCAGTAACTCAGACCCGTAACTCCTAAAGAAATGTTTACCTGTTTGCTCCTGATCTGGCATGTTGCAATACTCTGTCAGCCTCTTCCAAAGCACCCTTTGTGTCCGTCCAACCTGCTTCATATCGAATTAAACTTAATTCTCCTAGGAATGTACACTTGTTTTTCCCAACAGAACTACCAATGTAATCAATCTGACGGACTATCTTCGAGCTATCTGAATACGTAACTACGGAAACTCGGGCTTCGTCTGGCGACATACTAAAAATCGTCGATATTTCTCGAATAAAATTGATCTCGAAATGAAAATTGGATGCACCGATACTCCCTGAACTGTCCACCAAAAAGACGATTTCTGACTCTCCATGCTGATACGGTTCCAATGATGAGAGTAGGAGACGGCCTTGAGTGTCGATTTCCTCCTGTTCTTCCGAAGAAAGGTCAGGTGGAAGACGTTGAGCTAGAGCGGATATTTGTGACAGAACCGCAGCAAGAACGATAGCGATGTTTCTCGCGTGCATGGTTGCATGTATAATGTTCGGGAACTGAAAACACTGCTGATAGATTCGTTTAAATCCAACAATACGGGAAATTCCCCTGACGTTCCGAGAATTTAAAAATAGCTGTTATCACTCATCGAAGTTGTATCACATGCCTCTTACCGAGTAGCAAGCCGTAATTCCCGGAATGGTGAGGTATATCGTAGTGCGCAAAGGAAACGACCGGCATGTTTATGTTGACACAGTGCCATCTCAGTGAATCATGTAATATATCTTCGGCGGCTGGTTCATGTTATAATCGCACAGAGCTCGATTAGTACTAGTCGGGTTGACATCTTGCCAGTGTCCTCCACATGACCCATTTTGAAACATGGGACGGGCTTGGCCATTTTTGGAGGGTAGGGGTCAATCAGACTTTTCTGAAAAGAAGTATATCGACAGCTAAGTGTACGTGAACTGTTAGTTGACAAATACGAAAAAATGTAAAATAAAAAAAAAATAAAAAAAATGCCTTTGACAAATTGAAACACCTTCAAGATTTCAAATCATCGACCAGAGATAAGTATCATCACAGTCCTTCTATCAGACAGGAGGACTGTGGTATTATAATATGACTGTCACCCGTAACAACGCCGCCAAAGGAAGACGTGCATAATCGATCCTTTATTACTGTGAGTAACGGAAATTACATTTATATGTCGCCTTGACCCAATGTTTAGAGGACATGAAAACACTGAGTGTGTTCGCTTTATTATTCAGGGGTCTGGTATTAGTCACGTGAAAGCGTCGGCTGTTTTGACGCCGCATCGAAACTTACCGCCCGTGGCTGTCGGGCGCAGCATGAGTCTGAGTGTGTCTTTCGTTCCGGGTTTTCAATACTGGTCTTGATTTTTAAAAAATGCAAGACGATCTGGTAAACTCTCAAAATGTGCTTCATCCGGGTCGGGAAAATAGGCAATGTAATTTGCGATATGTTGAGCCAACCAGGGACATTGAACTAACCATGGAGCTCCATGAACTAACACACATTATTAAACACCGATGCCCCTGTCTATCTGTAGTCTAAAGTTTCATACCACCTTGAACAATATAAGTATAACTGGAAATTCCCGCGGATGACAATGGTAAATAATCCAAATTCAAATCTGTTCGGAATTATTATATAGCTAATTCCATTGTATTCAGTGTCTATCGCGTAAATAACACACGGTCGTCCTGAGATAAACGTTCAAACAGTGGCATTGAAAATGGGTAAAATTGTGTGGACTAATGTAAAATCAATTCGTGTCATCGAGTCGGAAATGTTTTAAAATCTTCGGAACTTTAATGGTCCAGAAAAATGCATAACACATACTGCCCATAATTACGATTTGCATCAATGCGCAGTGTAATGTAAAAACGGGTGTAACTTTTTTCTAATTTAAAACCATTTTTTGCAAAGATTGGCATGCTTGTATCTTAACTTATTTTATTTAAGCAAGCCTTAGATTTGGTTGGATAAATCTCTTGAAACAAATAAGGGTCGAAATAGAGAGAGGAATCTGTTCACGTACACATTGTTTGCAAAACTGTCACATACTAGTGCGCATGGAGGTATCTATTCCTGTGCACCTTTAAAAGAACTTTTCAAAAGATATAAATGTTAATAGCAGCTTATCCTTGTCAAATTTATTTCAAAGTGCCGGCGTTAATCTGATCTATTTCATCGGGGAAAATTTTCCCACTTTTTACGACTGCGATTTTTTATCCGATTCGGAAAAAAATAGTTTACTCACCAGTGTCTGACTACACTACGAAGCTAAAAGATGACTTCACATAAAGTTGGCATGTGTCGAAGACGAATTACATGCATCCTAACACGTAGCATAGTGAAATAAACAGGAAATTCAACACATGTGTTGACTGAACGAAGGTCAGATACCGTCCTCAAATTTAATTAACAGCTTATTCTATTTCGTGCTCTCAACTCAATATTATATCATCGTTGGTCTCATGCCGTAATGTTTGACATGATTCTGTCAACAAGATTTGTGTGTTGATGTTAGCAACCGTCTTACTTATACTAAATACCGTTAATTGATAACAATGTTTTTTTTTAAAGTCATTCAATCCAATCCATCGGTTATCCGATGAAGTTTCTAATCGTAAAAAATCAACGGTGATGTTGTCAGAGTGCCAGTGTATACTAACATCGCATCGTTGTTAGCGTTATTTAAAACATTGTTATGAATTGGAATAAAACGCAAACGACATACTTTAACAGTCTACACACTCGAATACGACAATTCAGCATAAACATTTTTCCGATTTTTCTAAACAAAACTAGGAATATATTCCAAATACCGTCCCACATCGAGTGACTGTGAATGGAGATAACTTGCAACAGGGATTATTACATTACATAGGTATAACATTAAAACAACACTACTGGAATTAATGTTGATGATGTTTTGAAAAGTGTGACATTATTAGGTTGCATATTTTGATACTCGCCGACATTTTCGTTATGAGATCATTAAATATGCCCAATTTTAATAACTTCAAACCAAACCCCCCTTGTATTAGTTGACCTCAATGACCTATTCCAACCATGACCTTACTTCTCCCCAG